ACTCGTAGAAACTTCACGGTCACAACCACAGTGGTAGAATGAACTTCGTGGAGCGATCGCCTTCGTGGACTGGGTCAGTGGTCTGACGTCACCGCCGATCCAGCGTGTACACTGTGGCCAGTGATGTTCCGTTCTACGCCGAAGAATTCCCATTCATAGACACGAAAATTCCCTATTTCGGGGATTTTTCCCTATTAACGTTGACGAAAGTTCCAGCATATTTCACTGCATAACAGTACTAATTTCCGCCGTCATCTACGCAAACACTATAATTACACGTGTATGACGTACTGGCCACATTTGAAATCATGACTAGCCCATCCGCTGCCGCACAACAAAGCCATGGCATATTCATTCATATAGTGATAGTACACTGCACATTGCGGGCTTCAAGTCTAACACCAATAATGAACTAGAAATCGCTCCACGTATATAAAATCTCAAGGGTTCTGCAAGCGTGGTGCATGCACCAGAACCGATTACAGCAGATAAAGGCGCACTGTGACCGCTAATTATCGGTCGACATATGAGAAATTAACCACTCCTGAAATACCCTGCAATATCGCGAAGATTCCATTTGGCTCAAATTGACAGGCGAAAATTCCCCGATAAAGCAAAAATTTTCTGCACGGAACATCACTGAGTGGCTGCGCCTGTGAGGCATAATTCACCGTGTGTAAGCGCTTTGAAAGGTGGTTTCACTGTCGAATAGGCTGTTTGTGCGGTGAAACCAACCACTTTGGGGATATTCGCAATGCCGTGAAGCGACCTTCGAAGACTGAGTTAGGTTATAGTGCCTGCAACCCTGTTAATTTTAAACAGCGAAGTTCATGGGACATTTGTATTTACAGTGTGATCATATCATATCATCCATCTATATGAAAACACTTGTGGGCTCTTATCGCAATAAGAACAAAAATTTATTGAGATAACTGAGTTCGTGTGTGCTACAAAAAAAATTAAGCAATGCTTTATATCGCACGGCACGAGCAATGAGGTTGCACCTCGCTTCTAATTTTCTTTGTCCATTTGAATAGAACCATCATATGCATCATTTATAATTTTTTTGTACTGTTCTTGGGTCATCTCTATTCTCAAAATGTATACAGTGAATTTTCTTTGTTTTGGAAATTTTGGGTATACAGTGTTTTTATTTTGTAACTTGATAAGACAGATGCTTGGGCTAGTTGGTGATAGGAAATCAACACATTTGTACAGCGCAAGACTACGAGTAGTTACGACGTAACTACAGAAGAAGAGACAAGGACAGAGCGAGTGCTGATTTTAACTGAAATTTTATTAACGAAAATGCTGAAAATATATACTCATGACGAAACACCGCCGCGCAATGTATTGCATCACAGCAAGACAATCATCATCTCATTATATGGTTACAATGCCACAGCTTAGCGCAATTTCACTATCAATTGTGTCAAAGCCAGAAACTCGCTTTCTTTTTTAGTCAGAGCAAGCGAAGGCAGGCTGATACATTGATCACCCAGCGTTTGCATTTCATTGGCCTCCAAAAGCTCTCGTGTTAGCTGCTGACGGTGTTTGGCTACAACAGTGCACTTTTCGAAGTGTTGGAGGGCCCTATTAAGTTTAAAAGCTTGTTATATGGGCCAAGTAGGAAACCTTTAAACACAAATATTTTACTGTGTATAACTTGCAATGTAGTCATATTTAAATAATACATTTAATAGAAACTTGCTTCCACTTTGCTTCAACCCAAGAAAGCGTAAGTCAGAAAAACCTGTGGAGCTTGCTCAGACTTGGACTCAATAAACTTTTTTGGGAGCCGTACTCACTATCACGAAAATTTGTTCAACCGGACTCGCTCAGACTCACTGTTTTTTTCGACCTCAATGCCAGTGCTTTTTAACACCGAAATTTCACGTAATGGATGCTCTTCTTGGCACCTTTTCATATGGTGCCTTCGAATACTAGTTACGAGTGCTCGTAAACCAGTAAGGTCATTTTTTTTGAAAGAGATGACAGCGCAATATATATTCGTCACCAACTTCCTTTAGTTGTCAATGGTAAGGGAAAGGTCAAGGCCTTTCTTCATGTAATTCATGCCACTGATCAATAAATATTCAAATGGTTATAAAATACACGGCTTTGAAATATGTGAGCATTGATGCGAGTATGAGCGCTGATATAGGTAAAGCATATAGTAATGCTGAAGACGAGTAGATATGACCATAGCATGGCAAACAAAAATCGAACTCTGATTCCCTCAGGAAAGGAAATGTATCTTGCACTTTGGACTCGCTCGGACTCAGAATCGTCAAAATTTTCCAGAGACGGACTAATTTGGACGCACACTCACAGAAATGTTAAACTGAACTCTCTCATTCTAAGACTAGCGCCTCCATCCGAGTTAGAGTGAGCAGACTCTGAAGTGACTTCGCTGATATCTACAAGAAAGAGACATTCCTGGTATAAGAGCAGAAAAGGACACTGTTAAGAGGCGAGGAAATTACACAAGCGCATGAGATATTCATACAAGCCTAGTTCTTAATCGTAAAATTCTTAAGGTTATTGGATCATAATAAATATGCTTGATTTTAAATGATTCAACCAAATTACTACTTTTTCAACCTCACATAACTATTTGCCCATCACTAAACCTTGCAGTTCTTGCTTCTTCTGGCTGTTTTGGACAGGTGCGTGGAAGAAGTTGTGGCCGAAAATCACATGCATGTTTTCTGACAGGGCGAACTGTTGGAGGCCAATATTTTTCAATCAAATTTTGAATGGTAGAACTGAAGATTACCAAGCATATACAAGCTGTCTTGTCAGATTTCATGCATATTCAGAATTCGCTGTGAGGAGGGTTCGACATTTGTAATCAATTTCCAGCATTTCTAGTGCACTGAAGCTGTAATGTTCTGGTACAATTTTTTATAGGGACTGTCTACTGCACAGAACATTTTGCTCATTGTGGTGAAAATGAGAAGATTTTTAATCTCATCAGCACCAATGGGCATGTTTTTGTACCATATAAAAGGAGTAATTTTGATGTTGAAAATCTACAAAGCAACTGCTGACACCGCAGCAGTGATGTGGTTCTATTTATCCACACAGAACTGCTTGCAAGTAGGCTGATTTCGCTTAAAAACAATCATGTTTAACTTGAAATTGCATTTCATTTACTTGAGGCAACTTTATACTGCACAAGAGAGTATTTTTGCTTGTTTTATCACGCCTTCAAAGAGGCACCGTGGCACTGCCAGCGAAACGGCCACGTGCTTGCCTACGGCGGAGAAACGCGAGTGCTGCGTCTGGCGCCGCTCTCAACAAAAAAAAAAATGTCGTCGGCATGTATTAGCACAACTGACTTCAGTAAATTTTCAAACCTTGCCCATTGGTCCAATGTCATCTAGTAATGTTGCGCGAGCCTTTTTGCTTCAAGTGCACAACAGTACTTACCAAAGTTCTGCATTGGAGAACATTTTGCCATCACGTTTTGCTTAATCAAGTTGCCCATGCTGGCTCTCATCCCATATGCAACGCAGAACACCGAAACACAACTGCAAGACAGCGGGGACCTTCTGCTGTTTTGTGACAGCGGGGACCTTCTACTGTTTTGTGAAGGACATTTCATGTTTGTTTTAGTTGCATACGCACTTGGCAGGAGTAAAACCACTACAGTTCGTTTCACAGTGCTGGCGTACCAGTGTTGCTGGAACAAACTCTTCCCCTCAACTCTTGTGGTTTTTGAGGCTAACTAAGCAAAGCTGGGAAAACTTCGGTAATACATTATCTGACAATTTCCATGCTTTATACGACCAGTACGGTGTATGTAGTATTATTGGTGAAGGCCTTGCAAAAACTGCACACAGTTTCAGTTTTAGACTTTCACACCATTGTGATCACGTCCACCAGCCATCGTTCTGGGCGTTCATCACTCCAATGGAAGAATACTGAACGCAGAATAAAAAATTTCTCAGGATTTCTACACACTTGCCAGAAAAGCTGTTGGAATGTTGGACACTTCAGACGTATGCTTTTTATTGCGATACAAAACAGCAAAGCAGTGGAGGACTATCATAGTCACTTGAAAGTGAAAGACTTACTTGGGGTGCTGCCTTGCATTCTGGCCTTCAGAGCTTGCATCTGAATGACTGAATTACTTATGAGCCCAGACTTGGAGAGGACACTGCACTTGTTTGCGCTTGTTTCATCATGAACCTTTACCAACACGCCCAACTGGCAGTCATCCTACATACTTATCAGCACTAAATAAAGCTAGAATAGATTTATTGTCATTGTACCCTACCCACCAGAAGCTTCAGTTGGTCTCGTCTAGCCCCCAGATGCCCATGGGGTGTGTGAAAAATGATGCAAACAGAGTTTTTATTTCACTTGTGTATTTATTTGCTTACTTGTAAATAATAAAATCAACAATGTTCATTTTAATGAGTTTGGTACAATAAGAACATAATAGTAACACACTGTTAATACAAAATAATTGAACTCTCTCATTTTTTCTTGCAAATGGTGTTTTCATTGCTTATTAAGCCACCTTTGCTGCTTCTCAGCGCACATGCTCCGGCATTCATTGCCACGAACCACCACAAGGCAGTCCTACATGCCCATGAAGCATAGAAAAATGTGAGCCATGTTAACTCAATACTGTGTACCCACAGTTGACATGCATCTCCATGTGCAGTGCCCTATAGGTGTGCTGCTTGCCGAACATATATCTGGTAAGCTTAGTGATCAAAATCTGTCATCGACAATGCACTTCTCATAGTGTTGTATGCATTATGTCTTGGGGTCCTCTTTATTGTGCTGCTTGTGTGCTTCTCTGTGTGTTCAATTTTCTGCCTTCTTTTTGACTTGTACTATAGTTCTGATACATCTAGGATTGCCGACTGTTTCCATTTCTTTATATTTCCTTGCAAAGTTCTCAGAAACTAGAATAAAAATTGACTTGAAAGCAGGTCGCAGAACTCGGTACTTAAAAAGACTGGTATCTTCTCTACTTGCAGGCTGGCCACCAAAAACAGTGTGAACCTCAGTGCTAAGGGCTTGAATGCCACTGAGTTGTAGTGCCACCAACAGCGAGGGGATTGCGTCGTGATGGAAGAAGAGGATGCGCGTGATCACGTGCGATGCAGCAGCAATAATGGCGCGAGGGGGCAGAAAATAAAGAAAACATTGGTTGTGTGAAAACCTGTCGACTCTTTTTCTCACATGTGCTACACAAGGTATACTAACGTTCTCCTCATTGTGGACATGTACTGTGATAGGGACAGGAGCAGCCTTTGTGTAGTATTTCTCAATGCTTTGTTGTTGTTACTAACACAAAGCTGTCACACAATTTAACCTTTTACTTCACTAAAATTATAAATTAACTGTAACAATTACAAAAGCAAGCCTGAAATGTTAATACTTCATGTTACTTTGCCTGAAAATTGTTAGTTTTTGAAGAATGAAGTTGGTTTTGTTTAATCCCAAACAAGCGAACTCCACTTCTTGAAGGAGTGCCAACCCCTGAAATCAGACTAAGTTGGCATAAAAAGGACTAAAGCGTCGGCTTTCAGTGCTTGCAAGGAATGCTGCGTGAATGTCAACCGTTTGACACGTTATGTACACAATTGTGTACAACACTTGATTTTTCTATCTGTATTTGTAGGGGCTAAGAAACATCAAAATATTTTGACTTGCTAATCTCTTCATTTACCTTCGTTTTGCAGCATACAGTTGCATATTTATTTTTATTTTATTTACTCTCAAAATCCTTACGGCATTAATAGAGGGGACTGGTTACGAAGTAGAAAAGGCAAATGCAGCATGAAAAGTTATTAAACAAAGAATAAACTCATCACTATACAATGTTAGCTGAGTAAGGACAAACACAATACATAATCCAGCCTGTAAATACAGAATATTAGTTAGTCTATTTTGGATAATTACAGAATACTGAGTAAAGTTTACTGGAAAACAATTACTAATAGTGACATGTCTTCAGGCAGTTGGTTTCAATTTACCAATGTAAAAGATAAACACACTAAGAGTTGCATATTCCGATGTCAACCTTATGACGAGGTCACTTCAATAGGATATGCACTGAGGATTCAGAATTAGTTAATCATGCAGGGTGGTATGACAGAATAATTCGCGAAATGAAGCCAAATAGGATATTTTCTAAGGGGGTGCAAAAGAAGCAAGGCTTCGGCTGGAAGTTATACCAGCAATGCAATTACAGTGCGAAGGTATCAAGCGGATGGAGTTATTCTGTACAAACAAGTGAATCCAGTTGTCGTGGAAAGGGTCTCGCACAAAAGAGGCATATTCAAGTTTGGGACGTAATAATGTTTTATATAGGAGTAGTTTCAGTGTATATCGTGGTTTTGAGAAGTTGCAATGTATGTAGCCTAACTTGTAATCGGCATTATTAGTAACATATTCGGTGTGAAGTGTCTGAGGTAAGTTCAATGTGATAAGAACACCTAATTATTTATATGAGCTGAGTCGATTGTGTAGGACATTTACCTAGTATGTTAGCAAGATGTCTGCATATCTTCTTACGCACATTTGCTTACATTTATGCATTTAAATCTATTTTCCACGTGCTGCACCTAGCTGCTAAAGTGTTGAGCTAAGATTGGAGAAACGAACTGCCATTGCCACTACTTACCTTATTGAAAATTACGAAGTAATTTAAAAAAGACTAGGTAAAAGTGGAGGAATGAACTGCCATTAGCACTAGTTATTTTATTGAAAATTACGCAGTAATCTAAAAAAGATTAATGTTTGAAGAAGTTGATGATGTCAGACTCGAAATTGGCGACGGGTATCTTTTTTTGGCACTGGAGCTGGGTTCATGGCTTGATGGGGGCGCCCAGAACATGAAAGAAACCACCTCCACCAGATGTCGCATAGTTCAGAAATAAACTAAGGCAGCAGGTGGCATTTCCAAGATGAAATTTTTTGTTTGGCTATACTTGTGGCCGAGAAACCAAGTCAAAGACTACAGCAAAGCACAAGTTTGGTTTCTTTGTGAACGCACCTCGTGTTATGCTGCTATTTTTGTTGCAATAGAATATCGAGTGCCTTGAAATGTCAGTTTCACACAAGTACATACAGTTCTTCATAGGTAGTATCTTAAAGGGCTAAGAGAGCAGTTCACTTTTATTAGTTTTTTTTCTCTATCAAGAAACCCTTGCACCCCTTCGGCCGTAGCCCAATCATTCGCAAAGTTTGAGATTAGCTAGTTTGTATGACGAGACCTCAATGTCGAGGTGTTTCATGCATTTGGCACTGTAGTCACTGCCTGAATTGCTTCATTTATGGTGCTGGCAACAGTGATGTCACCAGGGATATTTTAGGGTGAGAGAGGAACACATGCTAAGTAGAATACTTGCAACAACCCTGAATGGCAGTGAAAAACTTGTGCAAAGACACATGCCAGTCATGAGGCATAAGAACATCGATACTTGTATAATGCCTTGCTGAACCGAAACTTCGTATAGAGATTAAATAAGAGGAGTGAGCATAATATTTCACAGCTCTGCATTTGGATATCCTCGCACTTGTCAAAATTTATATTTTGGGGCTTCTGCATTTATAGATGTCCACATCTCTTTGAGAAACATAAACTAGTATGCCAGCAGCCGCCAAGCTTCTAATCTTCATAACTGCAAAAATATTAGAAATGTATGCAAAGGAATAAGCTATCTTTTATCCTCAATGCCAAAAGATATAATAAACTGGGTGTATTACGCTGTGTCTATAGGTGCTATTATGAACATTTTCATAGCATTACGAAGACTTAGCATTGATGTGTACAGCTGACTGAAATGCGTGGCCTCCACATTTGGCCAGAAGCTTTCGTTGGTAAGTATTTTTACATTTTCAAGGCCACTTGTGGCAACCTCAGTTGGTCTACTTATGTTCAGAATTCTTCTTCAAAATTGAGAAATATATTGCTTTTTTTACAACAGCTTATAATTCTTTGAGCCAGTTTACTATTTTCTCTGATTTTAACATTATATTGCAGTGAAACGTCAAGTTCATAGGCCGAAGAGGTGTATAGGAATTTTAGACAACTCCTGCAAGAGTTTCAGAGCTTCGCAGAAAGTAGACATTGCTGGCATTAACCGATATATTTGCCACTATGCCTGTGAAGGCTTTGCAAAACAATTTCCAGAATATACTTGCCTTTGCAGCATTCTCTACCTGGCATATGCTGTGTTGCAAGAGGCAGTTGAACTATTTGCTGCATTGAATTTAATATCTGTTTCTAAAGTGTATACTATTGAATTGTGAAGTCTTATTGCATCTTATAATCCTTGCAGAAATCAGGCAGTCATATGCACGGATGTTTATTTGAACAGGTACATGCGTAAGGACTGGCTCTCACCTATACAAGGTTGGATGATGAGGGGTCTAAGCAAGCAATGATCCTGTGATACTTCGAATGGCATTTCACCCCAGCAAAGCATTCTTTTTAATGATGCAAAACTAAAACCAGGTGTAATTGCAAGATCCTGGTTGACTTTTATGGTCTCATAGTTTCCTAAAAGTAACTCTGGCACTGCAGTCGTTCAATTGCCATGGGAATGAGGGGTACTTCGCAGATTTGCCTAATTTTCGTGTTTGCAAGCTTCCCATGCACATGTGGCTGTGTTTATAGCTATGCATTGATTTTAAACCTTTGCTAAACTTTGTCTTGTGGCAAAGTGAATTCAGGCCACACAGATTTAAAAGAACGAACATTAGACACATTCGTGTACTACCCATACCTGCCATGCTAGCTGAAGCGCTGTGCGTTGCAGCTGCCACAGACACTAGCATCAAAGTTCCCTATGTTTCATTCAGAGCATGGTCTGTGCTTTAGAACATCCTCCAGAGTATCTCTATGCATGGTCTGCACTCCTGCTTTTATTTCAATTTCATGTGACGACTATGTGGCACTTGGGGCCAGGTATGTTTTTTTTACTTGCCATCAAGTTTGCATGACTACTTGTTGGACAAGGGCGCGTTGTAGAAAAAAAGAGAAAAACATCATGTCGAGGTGCTCGGTCGCATATTATAACGTTGCGCGTGCCCTCACAGTTTCACCGCATCACACATGCATGCTGCCCTGAAGCGCCAAAAAAGAAGAAAACACGGGCGCTTTTTTTTGCGGGACGCACCAGAAAAAAATTTTGTTTTTGTTCGAACCTTACTTGCACTGATAGGCAATATTTAAGCAGCGGCGTTCTTTTGCCCTAATGATGGCGTATTATCTTGTCCGTGTAATATACTAAGAAGGCGTTGAATATACGAACGGGGCGAGGCCAAAAGCTTTACTTGTTTTAGGCCGCACAATGGCGTTTGGAAGGTCTTCGTGTTGCATGGCATGTTCCCTATTCATAACGCGTAGCATAGAAGTCAGTACTGAGCATCAGCTAAAGCTAATTAACGCTGAAGTGATGACCGAGACGTAGCGAAGTGTTATTTTTCTGAAACCCCCTTTCTGACCAGCGACGAGGCAAGGCTTGCAACAAGTACGTCATCACGTCGTTTTGTGTTGATTGCATACGACTTAGTAAACATCCAAACTTGCATCGTTGATAACAGGCCGGCAAAACTTTGGGCAGAGTGAGGAGCGCAGCGCAGCGGCGATACAAGGCGCGCACATTGCTTGAAACATGAACGATTGCGAGATGTCAGTCGTAGAGGGTTTTCCTTTTCTTGATCACATCGTTCCAGTGCCCCACTTGCGTCATGAACGAGTCGGCTTTCGGTTGCGAGAGGCGACAGGTGGGCGCACACAATTTCTTCGCGAGTATCCAACTGAACTCGGCGCAGGTCCAAAAGCCTTGGCAGGGCTTTGCGAGCAAGGCCCCCGCTGGTGCAGCAGCCTCCCGGAAAAGCTATGCGAAAGTGCGGGGAGCGACAGCGCGATCACACAGTTAGGCCGGCGGAAATGCATAGCCTCCAAGAGCGCTGGGCCGCGGTGCATTGTGGGGGGCTCTATCCGCTCGCCTTTGTAAACTCGCACCCGGTATTGCTGCGCGCAGGGCGCACAGCGCGGGAAAGGAGTCGACATCATCTTACATGTCACTGCGTGCGCTGGCAAAAAACCCTCCCGTGTGTGTGCGTGTGGTGCGCGTGGCTTCTCGATCGTTAGAGTTTATTAGTCGGTGTTTAGTTTGAAGTGTGCCTGCGCTCTGTGCTCGACC